ACCCCCACCCCGTTCCTCTCACCTCAACAGTTCGTCTACCACAATGGTAATTCTTTCTTGCAATACCAAGTCTTATACCCGATGTGATACTTCAGTCCTGTGCTAATACAAGATATGAAACCAAAATTTTCATCCCGATAAATCCCGATCGTATTTCCAATTCCAAGGAAACGTTACTCGGCGAGTGGATATCTATCTATCTATCTATCCAAACTTGTTTTTTCCTTCTAAGCAGAAAAAAATTGTTTGAATTTTGCCTCAAGATTCGATGCCAATTTCAGGAAAATTCTCGCCAGTTCGCGATTGGCGAGCCCATCAAGCACCAAATCGTGATAATTGTAACATTCCGTCTGTCCTATAGCGTATTCATCATAACAAATGGAATTTTGAACAAAAACAAAATACCGGATTTTAAGAAACTTCATCAGATTGTGTGTGGTTGATTGGTTGAGGTGGTTGCCTAGTGGTTAGTGGTTATTGACCTGGGAGTCCCGGGTTCGAACCGCTCCACCGCCGCCACCCGTCTTCCCAGGCAGCCTTTGTATGGCCGAACCTCCCCCCCATTCCTGAATGTTGACTGTACATTTGTATATTCAATTAATAAAAAAGGAAGTAAAAAGTTATTTATACACTTGTGAGCAACAGAAAATCTCTGTGACGATTGACAAAGAGAATTGAACACCAGCTATTGCGTGTGCCTGTCGCGACTCAAACCGTGCGCCTTTGGATGTGGGGTCGAAACATTTACCCCTGAGTGACACGGTCGACACGGTCGCATAAATAAACTGAGGGCATGGCTCAATCGACTGGGAGGAGTATCACATTTGGATTAGCCTATTCCACTGATCGCCGGTATCAAGCGCTGCTGAGGTTCGAACTGAAATAACTGATGAAATCGATTTATTTTTTACTTCCCAATGAAATGGAAATGCACCGAGCACTGTTGCCCGATCCTAAACAGGACGAAACAGCTGCTGTCCAGTGCACTCTTTGTCGGTTATCACAGACATTTCCGTCGCATTTAAATGCATTCAAATAGTGGGGAATCAACGATCTCCCAAGGAGTGAAAGCCACACCCAGGATCATCAACAGTACCTGGTTCCTGTGCAAAAGCGAATGGGCTAATCCAAACATTCATGATCTCAATAGTTTCACTTCTTTTTTTATTGAGTGAATATACAAATGTACAGTCAACATTCAGGAATTGGGGCTGGGCTGCGGACATACAAAGGATGCCCAGGAAGATGGGCGGTGGCGGTAGAGCGGTTTGAGCCCGGGACTCACAGGTCACAAGTTGGTTACCTAATCATTTGGCCACCACCACCACCACTGAAACCCGAAAGTTCGAGGTTCGAGTCCTGACAGGGACACGAGGAGTGCTCACTGCTGACAAGTCCCCCAAATGGGATGAAACAGCGATTCAGTAGTGTGGGTAGGTCATCACAGAGATTTCGGGTGCACATAAGTGTACTCAACTGGTGAGGTAATACCGAACTTTCCCCAGGGGTGAAACCCACATCGAAAACCATCGACAGTGTCTGAGGATTGTGATCAGTCAAACGGGTTCATCCAAATACGATGGTGCTCTTGAAAGGTACGCATTTCAAAATAATTTTTATCGGTTGGGTCACTGCGTGGTAGTTTGCAGTCTATGAGTAATTGTTCAAGCTTGGGCTTCCAAGTACCGATATTATTTAATGAGCATACAATATATTGAGCCATTAGTGTTTGACAAAACAACCGGGTTTAGCAAATTGTATGTACATGATACATGATGGACTTGCTAGTAAATATCGAGAGTTAAATTAACGCCAAGCTGTCCCTGGAAATCAATCGACAAACATAAAACGCTATCGAAAATTTGCTGATGTTTCATTCATCATAAGTTATTCGGATTAGAATGTACCCTCCATCTACATACGATTTCATATCAGTCATGGAAGATTTGAATAAATTTCAAATAAGGAATTCGTGGTGTATCGAACAAATGAAGCGTGAACTGAAAAGCTAGGAAGCACTGCTGAACAGCTGTTTCGACCTGGTTGGGTCTCATCCGTGCAGTAAACGAATTCATCGATCCAACTGGGGATCGCGAACCGGGGACCTCACAGGCAGACAGGCAAGCATGCTACCCACTCGGCCACCGACGGGCAATTGATCAGACCGTTTTTCATTTACCATTTATACAACGTAAGGTTTGTTTGTTTCTCGAGGTTCGAATAGATTTAGAACCCCATTGAAAATAGGCTTTTGGGGGATTTCTGTAAATCGAATTTTCACCATAAAATGCTATCAAATATACTACTGACTGCGTTCGGAATTCTAAAGCAGTAGTCTTGAAGATGTGGTACATTTCCAGTTGCCCGTGAATACGACATTCTAGAGAGTTGTTGATATTAATATTACTTATTCGTGATTTTGTCGATTTCGCAGATGCCGGTAGCCATGATTACGGAAATTCAACTGCGCGGAATATGTTCCTTTTAAACTGGTTGAGGACACACGTGTGCGATTATTAATGCACAATTCAATCGGCCCATTTGTACGATAAGAATAAAATCACAGGGTTTGAGTGCCGTAGGGGTTATTAATAAAATGGTGAACTAACCGGTTGGCTGTATCGTAGTTGTTGAACCCGCATCGTCCTCACTGACCTCGCGTCCGGTCGTGGGCGAGGACAGGACCAGTGTTCCAGACTGATATGTGTGCTGAGATGAAATCGGTAGTGCGGGGAGTGGTGGCTGTGTGGACTGAGACGGTTGAGTAGACGCGGTAGATGCCATTTGGGGCGGTCCCGGTGGCAGACTGGATGGAGGTGGTGGTGGTGGTGGCGGTGTTGGTGTGGTCCCATGAAGTAGTCGTGTCATCAGGCTGCCCCCGTCCGTCGAGACTAGGACACCAGTGTGACCGATAGAATTCAAGGCGCTTTGCAGGCAGACATAGTTATTCCCACCTGTGTGATGACCCATGTGGTAGGTCAAATGGTAAAAAAAGGTAAACGCACATTATTCACACCATGAGTCGGTCACGGAGCTCCTGCGTGCGACAGGTGACAAAACATTTTTGGGTCCCTAGTGTCCTGAGGTTTGAGTACTTCGACCAAATGCGAATTGGGTACACTCATCGTACAAGTCACATCGCTTGTATGCATTCAACTCAATGTGTGTGTGTGTGTGATCACAAGACGATAAGGGGTCCACTCCAGAAAAAAATCGGAGGGAGGGGCAAGAAACAGCTGTGTGTGTGTGTGTGTGTGTACCGAGTGAGACTAAACGGCAGACAGTGAGCAAATTTGTGAGGGGCCAGTGTGGTGGTCCCCCAAAGCACACATGAATTTGAAGCGTCCAATTATTGGAAGATTAGTGAGTAGTTTTATGGCTGCTGCTGCTGCTGCCGCTGATCATCAACATTATCGAAAGAGAGCAAACAAAATGGTGCGGCGTGAGAGGCATGTCCCCCGTCTGAACACAACCGGGAGTCGTTCAAGGGATGAATGGTTCGATCAACCGACCCTGAAATTCAAAACACATTCTGTCGCAGGGGGAGAGGGGAAACTTGAGAGCATGGAACGCATGAAACTGACCACAAGCACAGCAAAAGTTGTTCTGCTCTCGTCCCCTGTGGTCCTACATCCGGCATATACCATGAGACAAACCAGTATGAATCGTGTTATTATGGTATCA